CGGATGCCAGGTGTGCTGATATGATCAGACACCTCTAGCACCGCCGGGGAGGCTCCATCTATTGGTGGGGAGCAGCACCTGCTGGAAATCGGGTCCAGYGTCCGYTRGATACATSTKGCARTGTAAYGTTTATTRGGRGAGGGGTWCTTTTCCGTTGGCACACAGGTGGAAAGTGGGAGGACAAAGAAGTTACCCAAAGGCGCACGAAAGTTGTGAGGCGGGAAAGGCGGAGAGGTCTAGGCAGGAAAAAGGGGAAGGGTGGAAAGAGGGAGGAGAAGCGACGAAGGGTTCTATGCTCTGCTTTTGCGTTTTGCAAAAATTAAAACCGATAATATTATCGGTTTTATTTTTGCAGAAGGCGAAAACAGAGCACAGGACTCGTCCTCGCTTCTCCTCTCTCTTTCCCGGCGCTCTTCCAATCTGGCTCCGCGCCCTGTCACCCATGAAGTTACGAAAAGGCACATGCCATTGGGAGCTGCTAGGCGGGAAAGGTGGAGAGGTCTGCACAGGACACGTGGTGAAGAGGGAAGGTGGCGTCGATTGGGGAAGAGCAGGGGGGTGGGGCAAATGTAGGCAGGAAGGCCATCATTTTCACATATACCAAAAGTATGACCGATAATATTATCGATCTTATTTTCACATTTTGCAAAAATGAAAGAAAAAAAGACGTGCACCCTCCTATCACTCTGTCCCCGCCGCTCTCCCCCCACGGCCTTCGCCTTTCCCCTTCAACCCCACCTCTCCCCTCACCATGAATGCCTCCCTTCGATTCCCGCCCTTTCGCCTTCCTCCCCTCAATCAAGAAGTCCTTTAAGTAGCCAATCTATGAGCGGGGAAGGGTGCAAGGCGAGCAGGGGGAAAGGCAGAGAGGGCAAGGCGAGGGGACAGGGCGTGGAGGTGGGCAAGGGGGCTCCTTGCAGTTAAGGGCAAAGGCGGGGGTGGAGCGGGAACGCAGCGTCGGTGGCGGGAATATATTAGATAGGAGCATCAGGTATGGAGGGTGTTCTTGGACTTTTGATGTACAAAGGAACATTGGACCCGCTTTCCAGCAGGTGTAGCTCCCCACCAATAGACGGAGCAACCAGGAAGCCAGCTAGGAGGGGGTGCTCTTATCACCTCTCCAGCTGAGCAACTGGCTTGGGAAAAAAAAAAAAAAAAAAAGTGATGCGAGGATGGGTTGTGTGTGGTGTGTGTTGAGTTGGACACTACAGCCTTGCAGGGGTGGGGTGGATATCACGACCGGTACGATTCCACTTTTGGACACTGTGTCCTGGTTGTAGTGGTTAAGAGACTTGGCTCTTGAGGCCGAAGTCGCCGGTTCGAATCTGTGCTTGCACGGAGGAGGGCTTAGGCCCAGACGTACGGAATCCATACTACTGTGGAAGCGCCTGTGAACCGACGGGCATTGATAAGTCCCGTCTGAGTGAGCGGTTAAGAGTACCAGCGGGGGTTACGTGCTGACTACAGAGCGAAGTGTACGAGAATTGCCGTGTCGGTGGGTGTTGTGTGTGGTGGGTGTTGAGTTGGACACTACAGCCTTGCAGGGGTGGGGTGGATATCATGACCGGTACGATTCCACTTTTCAACACCGTGTCCTGGCTGTAGTGGTTAAGAGACTTGGCTCTTGAGGCCGAAGTCGCCGGTTCAAATCTGTGCTTGCACGGAGGAGGGCTTAGGCCCAGACGTACAGAATCCATACTACTTGGCTGCGTTTTCGCCTACTGCAAAAATAAAACCGATAATATTATCGGTTTTATTTTCACAGTATGCGTAAACGACATTCCACGTCCACCCTGCCTTTCCCGCCTCGCAGCTTCCATGCGCCTATTGGTAACTTCCTGGTTGATGGGGAGGCGGAGCCAGATAGGGAGAGCGRYAAGAATGAGGAAGGAGAAACGACGACGGGTTCTTGGCTGCGTTTTCGCCTACYGCAAAAATAAAACCGATAATATTATCGATTTTATTTTTACAGTATGCGTAAACGGCCCACTTTCATCGTCCTCCCTCTTTCCGCGSATCCACCACACCTTCCYCTTTTGCCWCGCGTCCTRCTCARACCTCTCCRCCTTTCCCGCCTTGCTGCTTYCGTGCGCCCTTCAGGCGGAGCCAGATAGGGAGAGCGGCGGGAATGAGGGAGGAGAAACGACGACGGGTTCTTGGCTGCATTTTCGCCTACTGCAAAAATAAAACCGATAATATTATCGATTTTATTTTTACAGTATGCGTAAATGGCCCACTTTCATCGTCCTCCCTCTTTCCGCGCATCCACCACACCTTCCCCTTTTGCCACGCGTCCTGCTCAGGCCTCTCCGCCTTTTCCGCCTCGCTGCTTCCGTGCGCCCTTCAGTAACTTCTTGGTTGATGGGGAGGCGGAGCCAGATGTGGAGAGAGGCGAAGGAGGAGAAACGAGGACGGGTTCTAAGCTGCCATTTTGCCAGATGTGGAGAGAAGCGAGGCGTGTTTATGGTGTGGTCGGCTGCATTGGGGCCCAAAGAACGACCTCGTTCACGTACCGAAAGGCCAAGCCAGTTCCGACGTTTGCATGGGGTGCTGTGACAATTCGCGGGTAGCCTGCACACACACACAGTAGGTGCAGTGCACGTAGACTGGGCCGCGGACCATATGCATTCGAGGATGTCCACTACCCAGACACGCGAAGGCCGACGTCAAGCAGCAGGTCTGTTTTTCGTACCACCCGTATGTTTCCCAACCATGTTTTACAAAGTCACGGCTTACAAGCTGGCGAACTTCTGGGGCTCGGCCTCCGCTGCAAAATGGCTGGCGGCATGAAAATGGCTCGTGGCGCCAACCCAAAGGAGGCCTGCGCCGAGGGTGTTTCCAGCCGCTTAGAGAAGTGCCTTGGAAGTATTGGTGGTTTAACCAGGTGCCCGGAGTCTATCTGGTGGTGGTTGAGTCCGGTCTTTTGACCAGGGGCCCGAATTCAACTTCTTGCTCTGTATAATTTGTGTCCAATCAGCGGGAATAGCTTCTGCCTTCCCTCCCCCCTCCCCCTCCAATAGGAAGAAGAGAATAGATCTGGGGGGAGATAGCTTCATATACAGTCTGAAGGTTCATTTTTCAAAACTAATCAAAACATATATCTTTTTACATGGCATCAAATACGAGGCTGTCTTCCGTTTCGCCTTCAAAATTTTCCCTCCAACTTCCTGTCGAGAACTTTGCCTCTGCCAAATAGTGCCCATGAAATTTATCTTCTTTCGACCCTGAGGGTAAAAAAAAAAAAGAAAAAAAAAGAAGAAAAAAAGAAAGAAAGAAAGAAATAGAAAATAAAAATAAAAATCATGTTCGCTGTGAATTGCTTGTTTTCAGGTCGTGAACGTGCAGAAGACACTTGTCGAGGTGTGGGGAATTGTTCGTGAGACTTTCGTTGAGGACGCTTTTAACACCCAAGGTATGGAAATGCATCTCCCCCTTCATCTCCCCCTCGTTCCCGCATCCTCCTCCTCCTCCTCCGTCCATGCCATCTGCCGCCTCCTCCTTCTCCTCCCCCTCCCTGCTTGTCCTCTTTCTCCTCCATCATCTCTTGTTGTGTGGGGAAAAAAAAAAGGAAAGTGCACCTCTTCTTCAACTTGATCTATTTGTGAGGAGCAACACACGTCTTCTTCCTCCTCCCTCTTCAACTCCATGTGACGCTCAACCTCATGCCCTGCACAGCTTTCCTGTCGGAGTGACTAAAGCGTGGAAAAGGGGCCTCGAAAGCGGCAAAATGGGGTGTGCCAAGGATTTTTGGAAATTGAGTGTGGAGAATCTCCCGTGTGGTCCCAGATATGGACCGGCGAGCAAAAGTGGGAACGGCACGATGGAGTCCCTTCCAACGACTACCTAATCCGAAAACTAACTTTGAACTTTGTCATGCGCAGCGCGGCGCCTGTTACCAGGCTGAAAGGGAGGGGGAACGCACATAGGATCTCAATTTTGAAAGAGGGACCGACGACATTCTTTGGAGAGCTCAGAATCCGAGTCGGAGGGTCGCACTCTCATCGCCTTCTCCTTGAATTCCTCTTCGCCACGCATTCGATAGTTGAACCCTTGGGCTGGGAAGCGCTCCGTGCGGCGGGGGAAACACATGTAGGATCTCGATTTTGAACGAGGGACCGACAACATTCTTCACAGAGCTCAGAATCCGAGGCGGAGAGTTGCAGTCTCACTGCCTTCTCCTTAAATTCCTTTTCTCCATGTGTCCGATAGTTCAACCCTTGGCCTCGGAAGCACTCCGTGCGGCGACAATCACTGCACATTGTGCGAGGCTTGTGAGGAGCAACTGTCACCAACAGAACGACAATCAGCCGGTTGAAAAGAAGCAAAACGGAGTAGGGAGGGAAATGAGGATGATTGGAAACACCACGTTTTTGAAGGAAAATGTAAGGGCCGTCAGTCTTGGCTACGCCTTCTCGCACATCCCACTTGCAGTCACGTGTCCTGTTCTCGTTGTACGGAAAAGGTCATGGACGAGGATGTTTTATACGTCGATGCCCCGATGGCTCATGCTGGCTCAGTCCACATGGCTGATACGCACACATCCACGATTCACAAACCAAGGTGATCAACTCCTCTTAACTTTGGGAATCTCCTTCGCAGAGGAAATCAGGCAAGACAATGCGACTTTCTTGCCTGATGTTCTTGCACGAATGGGGATTACCCAGGAAGCTGATGGATGTGTTCAGGAAGAAGTTTCTGAAGGGATCATCACAAGTTCGTCAAAACTTGAAAACAAAGACAAACTCCGAGTGACAACAACAAAAACAACTAATGGGATAGGTGCATGAGATAAACATTGTCCTTTGAAAGTGATGGGAAGAGCAAAGATCTCCACAAGTTGAGCCGCTTTAAGGGGGCGCCCATTCCAAAACCCTCTGCTCACACAGACAGGTCACGCTTCTAATCATACAAGGGTGCATTCATTCAAAATGAAGATCATGAAGGAAGCACAAAAAATAGAACGATAGCCATTCGGACTGCTTTGCGTCTGCGATCTGCGATCTGCGTGTGCGTCGTCATTCCACTCGTTTCTTTTCTCTTGCGAGTGGAAGATTGTAACGAGAGGAGCGCTGGCTTTGTTGCTTGAGAGCGCAAAGGATATCTCCAAGAAAATTCCTAACTACAAAAGAGTGAAGGAAAGAAGCAACCGTCCATTTATCCAGTGCAAATACATCACCTCTGGAAAGATCTATGAGGGAGAGAGAGAGAGAGCATACGCACTAGCATCGAAAAAGCATTCATGTCACTGGACAACCTTCGTCGGCTCTCACGTCTTGGGGATCCTCGCCTAGTGAGATGCTAAAATCGGAAGGGCGAAATGAGAGGCGAGACTCAAGGACACACTTACACACATGCAACCATCGCAAGTCATGCACACACAACAACCATTCATTCAATGACATACATTCTTCGAAAGAAAGCGAGAAAGGGGGAGGGAGAGAGAATATACACTTGCTTGATTAAGAAGGAAAATTGGCATCTCACCATACAACGTGGTCCCAAATATAAGACAAGTTGTGTCCTTGGTCGTATTGGCGTCCTATCTATAGATGTTTGTCAATCTTTTTTTTCTTCTTTTTTACTTCGGGGGGTAGCCCCCGGCTGTCTCTTATACACATCTAGATGTGTATAAGAGACAGGAGAGAGAGAGAGCAGATTGACCTCAGCATCGGGTATTGATGTTCTCAGCATGATGGCCGACAGGGTCCAGCCGTTTCGATTCAACGGCGTAAGTGGGATATAGATAGGACAAGCCGGTGAAGCAGTCTGAGATCGTGGGCTCTCTCCAGAGTCTCCACCTCCCGGCTGAGAATCGATCCATGAACCTCGAGGCTCAAAGCTCTGAAGTGCAGATCATCCGCTACGGTAACCGCGCTTCGAGGGCTGAAATCCATTGGCGCGCTTCGGGGTCCGAGAACCTATTTTGGCGCGCTGTGACGTCCGAGAACCCATTTCTTTGGCGCGCTTTGAGGTCCGAGAACCCATTGTTTTGGCGCGCTTTGAGGTCCGAGAACCCATTTCTTTGGCGCGCTT